AAAACAAGATAAAAATGTGCGGGGTCCTTAGCTAGGTTCCTCTGAAATAAAAGGCAAATGTTAACAGGATGGGTCCACTGTTGTCTGCTAAGTATACTACAGTACACAGATGGAACATCCTTGTTTAGAGTCAGTCTTCCGCTGAATATCAGGGGCTGTCAGTAAACAGGAGCGGTCTGTGGAAAAATGGAAATGTCAGTGTTGGAAATAGGATGTAAGGCATTTTGCTGTGATGTGAGGACATTCTCAAATCAACTGTCACGTGTGGCATGCCCAGCCCAATCTTATGCCTGTTTGATCCTATAATACAAGGAGTTAGCTCACTTTGGAAGATATATCCACGTAGCTCAGAATAGGTTACTTTGACTGGCAGTCAACTCTACTTGGTCTCCTCTCCTCTCCTCTCCTCTCCTCTCCTCTCCTCTCCTCTCTTCTCCTCTCCCTCCATCCCATCCCTTTTCTTTCCACCTGGAAAGGCTGAGGATAAAAGTGTAACTGTTGAGTTCTTGGGGTTCCCTGAACTTGGTTGTTTTCACCAGGCTTGGTAACAACATCATGATGTGCTGATGATGGGAACACCAAGAACGTCAGCACCGTAGGAAGAGCACCGGATTAGTCTATGGTGGGAAAAAATCCGGAGGAGTCTGGTCACACCTTTTCTGACTAACAAACTTTATTGCATTATAAACTTTTGTGAGCGCAGCTCACTTCCTCCGATGCATTAAATGTTACGCCTTTTAATAAAATGTATTCATCTGAAAAGACGCTACCATGCTCCTTCTGATTTCAGGGACCCAAAGTCCAACCCTGAGCAACATATATTCTCTGCTATTGGAAAATGTAACTTTCCAAACATAAATCATGCAGCCTATTATTGAAGTCATAAGAAGGAAGTCTCAGTGGGTTCAGTGGGGCTGACAATCGAGTTAGCACACACAGGATACGTTTGGATTCTCAGGCGATCGAAGCTTGTCTTTAGCTCCTGATTCAGTTGTATCGAGGTGTTCAAAAGCTGGGAAGGTGTGCAACACACAAGCCCTGGATGCTTGGCTAGGAATAGTGTGATGCCCATGGCCGTCTTAGGGCCCACGTGATTTTTTGTCCCCATTAGCCTTTTCTTCAAAAAAATCCTTTAGTTAAAAAGAAAATGAAATATTTTAAAAATATGTTGGCTTCCTATTTCAATTTCTTTTTATATGTTTGTATATTGGTTTTTTTACCTTGTTTTAGTTGGATTGTTGTTTTGCCTAGAGTCGCTTAAATGAGATGGGTGGCCATACAAATTGAAATAATAAGAATATTGCAAAATATCAGCCTCTAGCCACATTGGAGACCTTCCTCAACTCCCAAAAGGTGCCTACCAACATGTTCAACGACTCTTTTCTCTTTTTTAGCCAGCCCAACCTGCTTCTGTCCTTGAAATGTTCATTGAGAGAAGTTGCTAGTCCCTGCAGTGCAATGGGGGCGGGGGGGGGGTTGGTGGTTAGCAGAAGAAGCTATTGAACCACCTGGAGGCACCTGTGGCTCGAGGTCCGAAATCGTGCAAGGTCACTGTGTGAAATATTGAGAACGGGCCACGATTGGATTTAAAAGGTTATAGGCGGAGGCGAAGGAATGCACCTTCACTATGATGGGGGATTCCACCATCTTGCCTCCCGGCCAAGCCCGTACCAGAGTCGACCTTTTTGGGAGAAGCTAAAGAACGTGGGAGCGTCTGGTGCAGCGAGACGGAAATTGCAGAGAACTCTCTTGCAAGAAATGAGCGATTAGTTCACGAGATACCAAATTAGGTGGGTTAAGTTCTAGGTGGC